AAGGAGCCCTGGTGGTGCAATGGTTAAGTGTTCAGCTGCTAACTGAAAGGTTGGCAGTTCGAACCCACCAGCAACTCCTTGGGAGAAAGACTTGGAGACCTGCTTCCGAAAAGATTGCTGCTTAGACAACCCTATGGGGTAGCTCTACTCTGTCACATGGGGTTGCTATGAGTCAGAATCGACTCAATGGCACACAATAACAGAGCTGTCAGTTTCCAGTTAGACCTGTGAGTGCAGGTGGGTGCTGCATGTACCAGGTGCCTTTGGGGATGGCGCACGATTTAAGGGGTAGGGAGTCCATAGTCCTGGGTACAAGCCTGACTCTACCACGAACCCACTGAGTCATCTTGATCCTAACTTTAACCCTCCTTTCTGGGCCTTGGTTTCCCCAGGTGTCACACGGTTTCAAAACAGGGACCCTGGGCACAATGGTTGAAGTGCTGATGGTTTGAACACACCAGCAGCTCTGTGGGAGAAAAGACCTGGCAATCTGCTCCCGCAAAGGTTTCAGACTAGAAAACCCTATGGGGCAGTTCTACTCTGTCCTAAAGACTCGCTATGAGTCGGAATCGACTTGATAGCACACAGCAGCAGCAGCTCTCCAGGGCTGCTCCGAAGCTGCTATAAGTTCACAGACGTGAAAGTTCTCCGTCCCTCTGCCTGATTCAAACTCAGGGATTGTTATTGTTTGAATAAGGCCTTACATAAGCCCGGAGATCCTGGCCAGCCAGCGATTTCCAGAGAAGTCAGAGCCCTTGGAGACTTTGCCCCACTGGCCTGTATCGCGTGGTCTCTTTGGTTGCTGGGGTCAACGGGGTGGACCTTGGGCAAATGGTTAAAAGCACTCAGCATCTTGGTTTTCCTATTTTTTCAACTTTACCTTCATTAGCTTTCTTATCATTATCATCCTTAGAAAAATGCTTGGTATAAAAAATTTACACGTTACTAATTTGCATAAAGCCCCTGGGTGGTGCAAATGGGATAACATGCTTGACCGCTAACTGAAAGGTTGGAGGTTCGAGTCCACACAGAGGCACCTTGGAAGAAAGGCCTGGTGATCTGCTGCTGAAAGATCAGCCACTGAAGACCCTATGGAGCACAGTTCTACTCTGACACACATGAGGTCACCGTGAATTGGCAACTGGTTTTATTAATCTGCATAAAGAAAAAAGGGAACTCCTGCCTCCCTCCTTAATCTCATATGCTGAAGGAAATCACCATTTAGAGTTCTCTGTGTGAATACCCTTCACTGATGTGTTTATAGCATGGCAAGTATATATGGGGTTCTCAGGCTCAGATGCTGGCAGCTTCCAGGTTTCAGGAATGAGTGGGAGGGCTGGGTGGGGACTGTGGCAAACTGGTGAGCACAGGTCCCCTCTACAGGCGTGGGCAGCCTCAGTTTCCTCATCTGTAACTTCAGACCCTGGCTGCATGTAAGAATCGGCTGTGGAGCTTTTCAAAAATACTTACGCCCAGGCCCCACTCCAGAGCTACTAAACTAGCATTTCTGGGGCTGGGGCTTGGCACCCCCCCCCCCCATTCTCGGGTGCAGCCAGGGCTGAGGCGGGCGTGGGCTGTGCCTGAGGTGCTGCTGAGATCTGTGGACGCCCCAGGCTGTGTAACAGCCAGTCCTCCTGGCAGGAAGGGTGCAGAGTGGTGGGTGGGGGTGGGGCTGGGGCATCACTGGGTCAGAGCTCTTCCTGTCTGGGCATCCCCTGAGGAGTGACTTTGTCCCCTTCCCCACCACTGTGCTCTTAACGGCCCTTCACTTCCTGCTTCAGTGCTCTGGGCCCCAGTCTCGTGCTTTGCATGTGGACATAGGTCCCCAGCATGGGAGCCCTGAGGCCCTCCTCCTCACGGCCCAGGGTGAGCTAACCTGACCCTTAGCCTTAGACCCCTGCTGGCAATCAGCAGGGCCTGCCTCAGGCACAGTACAAATGACGCATTCATGGAATCCTGCCCCCTGATAGTACCAGCAGGGAAAAGGCAGCCTAGAGTAGGGTCCTCCCCAAGGCCACTAGGTGAGGCAGAAAGAGCGGAGACTGGGATCCACACCGTTCTTCCTAGTCCCAGTCCAGTGGCTGCGCTGTGTGCCGTGGAGTCGATTCTGACGCATAGGCCCCTGTAGGACAGAGTAGAACTGCCCCACGGGCAGCCTGATTCCCATGTGAAGGAAAATCCCATGTAAACAAGTGATGTTTTTCCCTGCTGGAGTTCTTTCCAGAGTATCACTGCCCGTTGCCCTTGAGTCTATTCCGACTCATAGCGACCCTACAGGACAGAGTAGAGCTGCCCCATAGGGTTTACCAAGGAGCAGCTAGTGGATTCGAACTACTGACTTTTTAATTAGCAGGCAGGCTCTTAACCACCGAGCCACCAGGGCCCTGGAGTGTCACTAGCCTCCAGCAAAGTCTCCCAGGAGCACACCTGTAGTTAAGTGAAGGCAGCTGGGTTGATTGCTCGTTGCAGCGAGGGAGAATCCTCATCATGGGGAGCAGGGAATGCTGCGGAAGAGGGTGTTAGAAACAACCTACTATAGGCTGTGCCTGGGTGATTGGGGGAAGGTCTGTGGAAGCAGGTGTTTGCTCTAGATTGGGTACTGTCAGAAGGCAGAGGCAGTTCCATGACTGGGAGGAGAAGTGGCAGTCACTCAGCTAGCAAGATGGAGGAGGCCTGGGATTCTGGGGGCAGCACAGTGACCTTGGTTTTGGCTGTGCTTAGACAAGATTACGAGTGGTGTTGCTTTGTCTTGTTTTATCACGGTCTCAGGATGATCTCGTCTGAGGGTGGTATTCTGTAAGGTTGCTTAAGTCCAACAGGGGAACAAAAATGGCCCAGCTATGGGTGTCAGGTTAGATTCTGATGTCAGGGTGTCAGGGGCTGCTTCCCCCCCACCCCCGCCACCACCCCAGGAGTAACCCACATTTACTAAATCCCTGCTGGTATTCACCTCCCTGTTAAATGCTTTAAATCAGACTGTGGCCTTAAGCCAAATCACCTGGGGGGGGGGGGGAGAGGGTGTCCCACAGACTAAGAGTGGTTTTTATATTTTTAAATGGTTGGAGAAAATTAAAAGAAGTCTATCTAATGACCTGTGAAAATGATATGAAACAGAGTTTCAGTGTCCGTAAAGTTGTTCTGGAACACAGCCATGTCTGCCACTTTCCCTGTTGTCTGAGGCTGCTTTGGGGCTACAAAGCAGAATTGAGTAGATGCAACAGAGACTGTATAGCCTGCAAAGTTGAAAATATTTACTGTCTGGCTCTTTACAGAAGAAGTTTGTTGACCCCTGTTTTAAACGGATTAGTTCCTGAGTCCACTTGACCCTCCTGGGAGAATTGTTGTTTGCCTCTTACAAATTAAAGAATTGAGGTAGAGAGAGATCAGGGAATTATCTAAACTGGAGTTTCTCAACCTCCACTCTGTTGACTTTGCACCACATGATTTTTTGTTGGGTGGAGGGGGGCTGTCCTGCACATTGTAGGCTGTTTAGCAGCATCCCTGGCCCCTACCCACTAGATGCTAGTGTTACCTCCTCCCCAGATGGGACAACTAAAATGTCCCCAGACATTGTCCAATGCCCCCTGGATGCAGAAACAGGGTGGGCTGGGAACCACTGATCTAAGGTCACGTAGTAAGGGATGGAGCTATGGTTTGAACCCAGAACCCACATATTTGACTACCAGCCACATGTCCAACCTTCAGGGGTGGGTTGCCATGCCCTTGGTGGTGATGCCACCTGCAGGAACTTTTCATTCCTTCCATTGTTCTTGTGTCCAAAACATTGTTGGACCTGCCTGGGGAGCCTGTCAAGCAAACACAAGTCAGATCCTGTCCTGTCCCTCCTCAGACACCCCTCTGGCTCCCATCTGACTCAGAGGAGAAGCCAAAGTCCCCCGTTCACTGTTTTCTCTGCACGCTGCCCTTCTCTAGGTTTCTTGAATGTGCTGAGCTTCTCCTTACCTCCGAGCCTTTGCACCTGCTGTTTCTGCTGCCTGGAACCATCTTCCCATGGGTATTCATATAACTGGCTCCTTTTTATTCTGAGGTCTTGGATCAGATGTCATTGGCTCCTAGTGTCTTTACTGATGACCTGATAGCATGTAGCCCTCCCTGCTTCCCCTCCCCACTCTGCTAGTCACTCTATCATATTGCCCAGTTTTATTCCCCCATAACATTCTTCACTACCTGAACTTTTCTTTATTTGTTTATTGTCTAGAGTATAATCTTCTAGAATATAATCTCCATGGGAGCAGGGGCCTTCTTCTTTATTGTTCACTGTGTACTCAGAGTTCATAGTCAATAACACATTGTAGGTGCTCAATAAATACTTTTTGAGTGACTGAATGAATGAATGATGGACAATTGGTGTCACCATTCACATTGCTTATCCGTGATCACTCATATGTAGTCTTTTCCAAGCAGCCCTCTGGCATCCCTAGGTAAGCCTAGGGCTTGAGTTATAGGTTGGCAACCAGCTTTGCAGCTAACTTCTCGCCCACAGGCCTGGGGCCATCTCCATGTATGCGTGGGCCAAGAGGGTAGCATGTTGATCTTTTTTTTTTGGATTCAGTGGCAAGGAGGGGAGCCTGAAGAAGTATTTTTTTTAAAAAAATAATATTTTCTTGTGTTTTTGGTAAAGGTTTATACAGCAATTTAGGTTCCCATTCAACAATTTCTACACAAGTTTTTCAGTGACGTTGGTTACGTTTTTCACAATGCACAAGCATGCTCATTGGTTATTCCATTTCCATTAATCTAGTTTCCCTGTCTCCTTACATTCTTATCTTTCTTCTAAAGTGATTGTTGACCATTTGGTCTCATATATGTGATTTTTTACAGGAGCACAGTACTTACCGGTACGATTCATTATTTTGTGAGCCGGTCTGTTATTTAGCTACAAGAGGTGAAGAAGTATTTTTGACTGACAAGACAAGAATGGGAACACTCTTGTCCCATTTGCTACATCACACTAAAGGCCTCATGCTTTTTCCTCCTAGCTGCTGCGCAGAGAAACGGCCTGCCCACTGTGCCCACGGAAATGCAATTTTTTGCCAGCACAGAAGAGTGAGTCCTGGGTGAAATCATAGAGGAGCCGGTGCTTGATCCGAGAGATGGTGACAAAGAATGCAATGGCTGCAAGCAATGCCCCTCCCACCCCCCAGTTTTTCTCCAAATGACCCAGTGCTCAAGTTCCGCTAGACCTCGGCCTCTGCAGCTTCCTTAAAAAACACCAAGATGTGGGAAGGGCAGGGGACTGCATCAAGTCCCTAAAGGTCTGGTGAGGTTGAGAATCTTAGGTACTTTCTCCTCGAAAGAAGGGACCCAAGAGAGCAAGAAAGAACAAACTACATGGCCAAGGAGCCAAGGAGGAGAGGGCCACAGATAGGGTCCGGAGCTGTACAGATAAAAACATCCCCATGAAATAATCATAATTCCTCACATCTGCATGACTTGGATGGAGACCCTGGGTGGCACAGTTAATGTGCTTGACTGCTAACCAAAACGGTTGGAGGTTTGAGTTCACCCAGAGATGCCTTGGAAGAAAGGGCAATCTACTTCCCAAAAAATCAGCCACTGAAAACCCTATGGAGCACAGTTCTAGTCTGACACACATGGGGCCGGCATGAGCTAGAATCGACCCGACAGCAACTGTTTTATTTTTCCTATGACTTGGAACACCTCTTCACATTGACATCATATGTAATCTTCAGTATCCTTTGCATTATCGCAGAGTTGTTAAGATCATGGATTTGGAGTCACACAGACCTGACTCTGAATCCTGGACAAGTCCCTTAACCTCACTGAGTTTCATTAGTCTTCATCCATCTACTGGGCAGCATATTGGAACCCACCTTCTAGGGTTGTTTTGAGAGTTAATGAGATGATGTCGATAAAGCAGGTTGCCCGGGCCATACAAGTGCAGACGGTAACACTTCTGATTAATGTCACTGCCATCTCAATTTAACACGGGTGAAATAGCAGAAAGTAACGTGACTTGCCCATGGCCACTGATGGGCATCGTTCAGGTCTGTTTCATTCATTCAACAAATACTTATCCAGGGTTTACAATGAGCCCGGCACGGGTCTAGGTGCAGGGGGTACAGCACTGAGCAGACAAGAATCCCAGCCCTGGTGGAGCTTACATTCCAGTGACAAGAAACGAATCAATGAGTACAGTTCATAGTATATCAGACAGTCGGAAACCCTGGTGGTGTAGTGGTTAAGTGCTACTGCTGCTAACCAAAAGGTTAGCAGTTCAAATCCACTAGATGTTCCTTGGAAACTCTGTAGGGCACCTCTATCTACTCTGTCCTATAGGGTCGCTATGAGTCGGAATCGGAATCGACTCAACAGCAGCAGGTTATCAGACAGTTGGCAAGTTCCATGGAGGGGAATGAAGCAGGAAAGAGGGAGAGGAAGCGGGGCTGGTGGGCAGGAAAAGGTGGTTTTTAATAAAAATACTTGACAGCAACTAACAACAACAAACAAAAAGAAAAATATATTTTTCTTTTTCACTCCCAGAGATAGCCATTAAGACAGTTAATGGATACCATTCTAGACTGTCTTGCTATCTCTCCATATACACAAATGCATTTTTTAAACAAAAAATTGATAATACTATATAAGCTGTTTTGTTACCTACTTTTTCACTTAATGGAGTGTAGTGGATATCTTTTCACCTCAATAAATATATGTTAACATCATTATCTTCATTCTATAATAAACACTTTTTAATTTCATTCATTTTTGGAATTCTTTGACTTTACAAAGAAAGTACCCCAGAAAATGCAAGTAAGGGAAAAAAATCTATAATTCCACCTCCTAGAAAGGTACCAAAACAGTTTTGTGCATACCGTTCTAGACTTTCCCTAATAGTCATATATTCCTAAAATATGTAGATAATTTTTAAATAAAAAACTAAGTAGTAGTGTTACCTGCTTTTTCACTTTATTTTATGTAATAGACACCTATCATCTTAATAAACACCCATCTACATCATCATTTGTGCATTGACGTTCCATCCTGAAAAAGGGTCATCTTTACTTAGCCAATCCCTTTTTGATGGACCTAGGGTTTTTTTCCATTTTAAATTGTATTTAATGCTGTGGTGAACTCCCTTGTACCAAACCTAAAACACCTTTCCGATTATTTCTTTAGGATAAATTCTTAGAGTAGAATCGATGAGTTGAAGGGGGGTGTGCATTTTTAAAGGTTTTAAATGCCTATGCTAAACTGCCTTCTAAGAAGACCAGTTAGCCTGTTCCTCCAGCACCCACCCCCCTCCCCTGCATTGTGTGACCTGTCTCCCTAGGAGGCCAGAAATTCTGAGTATGTTCTGAATGGCTGCTGTTTGGATTTGTTTAAAGCAAAGACTGCCCTGATGAAGTGGAGGCTCCTCTGGATCTGCAGGCTGACTCCAAGAAGGAGGAGGAATATCGCAAGAACATCTGGAAGGGCTTCCTTATCTCCATCCCCTACTCAGCCAGCATCGGGGGCACCGCCACCCTTACAGGCACTCCCCCCAACCTCATCCTGCTTGGCCAGCTCAACAGGTACAAGCAAGTGTCCCCCACCCAGCGCTGGGGATTCTGCCCCTTCTCCTCCTCTTCCTCTGGTGCACTCAACATTTAGGAATATGTATTGAGTGCCTTCTATTTGCCAGGCTCTGGGACACAGCAATGGGCAAAACCCAGCAAAGCCCCTGCCCTTGGGGAGCTCCCGTTCTAGTGGGGAGACAGGCAATAAACAAAAAGGCAAATAAATATATACTACGTCAAGTGTGGTAAGATATGAAATGAAGCAGGATAAGGGGGAAGAAGTGACAGGTGTGTGCTGTTGTTTTGTACAGGTTGATAAGGGATGTCCTCTCATATAAGATGGTGTTTGAGTAAAAACCTAGAAGTGAGGGGGTGTCATGTGGACATAGGCGGGAAAACATTCCAGACGGGGAATAACCTGTACAAAGGCCTTGAGGTGGGAACAATGCTGGGAGGTTCAGGGACAGCAAGAAGACCAGTCTGGCTGAACCCAGAAGGCGGGAGGGAGGATGGGAGGAGATAAGGTCACAGGAGGTCGTCAGGATTCCAGCTTTTTCTCCAAGTGAGATGGGAGTCATTGGAGATTTGAGAACAGAAGAGGGACATGATGTCACCTACACTTTCAAAACGAACCCTCAACTGGTGTGGTGGTCTGTGGCTGTAAGGTCCTGTGGGAAGACCTGACCATGAGCACTGTCCAGGGATGGAATGGGCTCTGCCAGGAGGTAGACTTTCCTCATCACTGAGAGCCTCAGGCAGTAACTGCCAGGGAGTGGGAGTAAGAGGGGAAGATTCCCAGACTGCATGGCTTGTCGATGCCTCTTGGGTGCTAAGATTTGCAACATGCCAGCATTTCAAGATACTGTTTCTAAGATTTTAAGATTTTCCCAGCATTCTGAGGCTGCGTTTCTGAGAGTCCTTGGTAGCAGAGGTGCATCATGTGTTCATTTATTTACATGAATGCAAATGGGAGCATTTGGCCGACCAACTGTCAAATAAAAACCAAATCCAGATGGTTACAACGGTGGGGAGGGAGGGAGAGGGGAACTCACTAACTAGATAGTAGACAAGAATCATCTTAGGTGAAGGGAAGGACAGCACACAATACAGGGAAGTCAGCACAACTGGACTAAAGCAAAAGCTAAGAAGTTTCCTGAACACAACCAAACACTTTGAGGGACAGAGTAGCTGGGGCAGGGGTCTGGGGGCCATGGTTTCAGGGGACATCTAGGTCAATTGGCATAACAAAATTTATAAAGAAAATGTTCTGCATCCCACTTTGGTGGGTGGCATCTGAGGTCTTAAAAGGTAGTGCGTGGCCATCTTAGATGCATCAATTGGTCCCAACCCACTTGGAGCAAAGGAGAATGAAGAACACCAAAGACACAAGGAAAATATTAGTCCAAGAGACAAAAGGACCACATAAACCAGAGACTCCATCAGCCTGAGACCAGAAGAACTAGATGGTGCCCGGCTACCATCAATGACTGCCCTACCAGGGACCACAACAGAGTCCCTGACAGAGTAGGAGAACAGTGTGGAGCAGAACTCAAATTCACGTCAAAAGAACAGACTTAATGGTCTGACTGAGACTGGAGGAACCCCTGAAGCCATGGCCCCCCAGACGCTCTGTTAACCCAGAACTAAAACCTTTCCCAAAGCCCACTCTTCAGACAAAGATTAGACAGGACTATAAAACATAAAATAATACTTGTGAAGAGTGTGCTTCTTAGCTCAAGCAGATACATGAGACAAAATGAGTGGTTCCTGTCCGGAGGCAGGATGAGAAGGCAGGAAGGGACAGGAGCTGGTTGAATGGACACAGAAACCTGGGGTGGAAAGGGGGAGTGTGCTGTCACATTGTAGGGGTTGCGACTAATGTCACATAACAATATGTGTATAAATTTTTGTATGAGAAATTAACTTGAGCTGTAAACTTTCACCTAAAGCACAATATAAAAAAAGAAAGAAAGAAAGAAATGAGGGGAAAAAAACAAACAAATCCAGACTTTGACAGGGAGGGGCTTTCTTCAGAAAGAAAAGGGGAAAGGGAGAGGGACTCCTGTAATAGTGGGGGCGGGAAACTACAATAGGGAGAACCCGGCACATAAAATCTGCAATTTTGTCAAAGAGGTAGGAAAAAGTGCTTTTATATAGACTATGAGAAAGCAAGCACAGGAAAAAACCCAGGTGTGGGGAAGTAGGCTGAGTGGGTGACATCACAGGATAGCAAATTAGAATGTTTTATGCTGAAGGCCCTTAAAGAAAGGTAGTGTGTTTGTTCAGGCTGAGGGTGGGCAAAGTTCAAGGACGAAGAGGAGAAGCTTAACAAGTCTGATTAGCAAGCACTTTGTTTCTGATTGATCAATGGGGACAAGCAATTCAGTTACTCATTTGTGAATCAAAGAATGGGAATTTGGATGGTCTGTATCTGGCCTTGTCATAGGTAAACGAGGGGGCATCTGTGAGCCTTATGTAAGTCATATGGAAAGGGTGGTTATTGCGGTAAGCTGTTTTCCTGAACACAAAGGGTGGGAGGATTACTATAACCATTGCTATTTTCTATGATCACAGGGTTCAGGTAAAATTCAACATTATGACAACAAAAAGTGTTTGATATTCAACATGGCCCCAAATGTTGGCCAACTCCTTTACCTGATGCTCAACTATTAGGATGATGGAGGGGAAAATGGCCGTGTTGGTCTGCTGGGAGGAAGCTGAGAGGTTGATAAAAGGGCTTGTTGGAGCACATTCTTGGGGCTGGCCAGGAAGGCATGGACTCTGGGGTCCCGGGTAGAAAACACGGGCAGGTCCTGAGTTGGGGATGGGGTGAATGAGGATGGAGAGGATGGGGGTGGGGGCTGCTGTGAGAAGGTTTTCAGACTGCCTGCCACTCTGATGTGAGCAAGACTTTGTTCCAACCTGAATAAGAATTAAGGAGAAAATGCTGGAGCTGTAAGTAGAAATATGAAACATAGAATTTTGAGTAAATTACATGCAAATCACATGCAGCACTTAATGACTTAAACTTGGACCCTCTGGTCTGGAAGGAGAGGATTTAAAAGGAAATGTCAAGTAATATAGGGTTCTGGCCCTCCAGCTGAGGAGCCTTCAGAGGTAGGGAAATGGCTAGCCTTTGTTCCCAAAATGCACTTCATTACTTTGTTCAGATTATAAATGATATAGACACATTAGAGAACAGTCCAAAAATATCGGGAAAAATTTGAAATACCTTCACTCTTAATATTTTAGCCTATTTTTTCTAGTCTTTTCTATGTACATATATTAAATATATATATGTTCAACATTATCATCATCATACTGTTTATACATTTTATCATTAAACTTTTTTAGAAACGTAATTTTAATGGCTATAAATTATCCCATTTTGGGTGTCGTAGTTTAATAATGGGCATTTTGATTGTTTTCATTTCTTCTTCTTCTTATTTTGTTATTATGAAAAATGTGACCCTGGCCATACACTTGCTGATATTTTAATATTTTAAAAAAATTATTTTTTTGTCTTATTGCAGAAGGTATACTTGTTCCTTGTAGAAAATTTAGAAAATGCAGTTAAAGAAATAAAAATCTCCCAGAGTCCCATTAGATAGAGTTTAACTATGAATATTTTTGTTTGTTTATTTTGCAACAGCTGTCAGTATTTTGGTTGGTTGGTTTGTCGTGTGATGTCTGTGAGCGGGTTTGCGTCCCTATACGTTTGATGAAAGAATATGTAACATATTTTATTTTGTAACCTGCTTTTTTGCCTTCTCAATCTAGCACATACGTTCTTGACCCCATTTCTGCTTTTTACATTTTTTGGTTTTTGAGGTATATTTTTAGCAGTAGACTATCTGGGTAAAAGGGCAATACATATGTTTAAGGCTCTTAACGCATTTTACCAAATTACTTCCAGAAAAAGATTGTTCCCTCGGACAAGCATTGGGGGATCGCGTGTGCAAGTTCCTGTTTTTGCACACCCTAACCAACACTGAATGTTATTGCCCTTAGCCCTTTCAGGCTTGACGATGTCTTAAGAAAGCTGAGGTTGGACTCTTCGGCAGAGAAAGAATGCATAGACATCAACGTTATGGGGGCAGGACATGCAGGGCAAGTGAGGATTTACAAGAGTAGGGCAGAGGTCGCAGTCCGCAGAGGTTTGTCGGGCTCCCACAGTCTTTAAAGAACACTTTAATGAATTGCCAGCAATTAAACATCACATGATTTCAAGTAAAAACCCAGAGCTGGGCTCACTGGGCCCGCACTCCCGCATGACGACAGTAGGGGGAGCTGAGTGGCTCCGGCCCATTTAAATGTTCCACAATTCACCGTTGTCCAACCTGGCCTGTTTCACTCACTCGGGTCACCTGTCTGGCCCCCAAAGACCACTGAGTTTTTGACCCCTGGAGTAGTGCATCTACAGCCCCACTAGATCAGAAATTCAGCACCCCCCCTCCAAAGAAGAGAAAAAGGGGGTGTCATCTTAAGGGAGCCCTGGTGGCGCAGTGGTTAAGAGCTTGGCTGCTAACCAAAAGGCTGAATGTTTGAATCCACCTGCCGCTCCTTGGAAACCCTATGGGGCAGTTCTACTGTAAAGTATAGGGCACTATGAGTCGGCATTGACTTGACGGCAATGGTTGGTTTTTTTTTTTCCATTAGAAGGAATGGACAACTGTTCTGTGACTCCCAGGGGACACCCCCCGCCCCGACCCATCGCTGCAAGTACTCCCCACCCCCTCTCCCAGATTGGCTCTCATCAATCCCTGCTCTCCAGTTTCTTCCCGCAGTGTGACTTGGTGAATTTCGGCTCCTGGTTCATTTTCGCCTTCCCGCTCATGATACTGTTCCTGTTGGTGGGCTGGCTCTGGATCTCCTTCCTCTACGGAGGAATAACCCTGAGGTACCTCTGATTTTTTTCTTGGGAGGTAGTGTGGAGAAGCAGAAAAAAAACGAGCTTTGGAGCCAGACTGAACTGTGGTTGAGTCCCGGCTTCCTCACTCATTAGAGGAGGGGTCTTCTTAAGCCTATGTCCACTGCAGTGTAAACCAAGAGTTATCATTACAGTTATATGCTCATGGGACCATTATAGCAGTCCCAGCCCCCTAGGGGTGTGAGGAGTGTAGTAATGTATGTGGCCCACTTGCCCTGAACAGGCTCTTGGTTAATGTTCTTGTTGTTGCTAGTTGCCATGAAGTGGACTTCACATGTGGCCGCCTTATGTACAACAAAAATACAATGTTGCCCAATCCTGTGCCATCTTCATGATCATTGGCATGTTTGAGTCTTTTGTTATGGGTATTGTGTCAGTCCATCTCACTGAGAGTTTCCCTCGTTTTCACTGATCCTTTACTTTACCAAACATGATTCCTTCCATCATTAATAATTATTAAATAGCATTCTTTTTAACTAAGGTAAACACGCATGACCAGAAGAGAGAGGGAGTGCAGTGTTTTATTCAAAAATACAATAGGCAAAACATACACATGGTTCAGAAATCAAAACAGTACAAGAAAGCATGCTGTGAGTCTTGTTCCCAGCCATTCGCATATGTATCCCTTCACCCAATACATCACTCCAACAGGTATCCATTGGTATTGGTTTTTTGGGTATACTTCCAGAGTTTTCTTAAACAAATACAAGCAGATACAAATATATTTTCTTGGTACAGCTGTTGTTTTGTATACTTGTAAGCTTTTTTAAATTTTTTTTTTTGTGAGACAGATTTCCAGAAATGAGATTTCTGGGTCAGCACATAAACACATTTTTTAGTAGATATTGTCAAATTGTTCTCCATCAGAATAGTACTAAATTGCTCTCCAATTAACAACTTATGAGAATATCTGTTTCCCAGCAGCTAAGTAGGTTTTTTGCCCATCTCAAAAGAGAAAAATCATTTGCATTTATGTTATTAAGAGTGATTTTGAGCAACTTTTCATATGTCTGGGGGGCATTGGTATTTTCTTTCCTGTGAATTGTTGGACTATGTGTTCATATTCTTTGTACATTTCCAACTGGGTGGTTGGTCTTGGTCTTATTGATTTCTAGGGTTCTTTATAGATTAGAAAGATTAGTCCTTACTCTGCAATATGAGCTGCAAATTTTTGCCCCTGGTTTGTTTTTTGACTTCGCAAATGGTGGTTTTTCCAACGTAGAATAAAAACAATTTTTAGGTGAATTTATCAATCTTTTCTCATATGGCTTCTGAGTTTTCAATTATTGTTAGAAAGGTCTTCCCATTATAGGATTATAAAAGAATAATTCCATGTTTTTTTCTAGTACTTTTATTCTTTACATTTAAGTCTTTGATCTATTTGGTATAGTATACAACGTGAGGTTTGGATCCACCTTCCTTTTTCTTCCAGACGGCCACCGAGCTGTCCCAACTTAATAGCCCACTTACTGAATAGCCCAACTTTTCCATACCAATCCGAGATACCAACTCTATCATAGACTAAATGCCCCTATGTGTTTGGGTCTATTTCTGGACAATCTACTTTGTTCTATTGATTTCTCTGTTTATTCAAGTGTCTGTTTGACCCACTAACTGACTTTAAGCCTAGGAGCCATATGATCAGATTTGCGTTTTAAAAGCATAACCCAGACTTTTGTGGGTAGAACAGACTTTAGAAAGGAAAGGTAGCTGCAGAAAAGGTAGTGGCAGTGTTCAGGCTGTTGCAGTGTCCAAGGGGACAGCAATAATGTGGCTCAGCCAGGTGATGGGGGACAGGGAAGTCAGGCCTGCAGTGGCCACTCCTAACCTCCCCACTCTCTGTTCCAGGGGCTGGAGGAAGAAGAAATCTGAGTTCAGGGCTAGTGCGGAAGACAGGGCTCGAGCCGTGATTCGGGAGGAATTCCAGAACCTGGGACCTATCAAGTGCGTGGGTTTCTTGGGAAAGCTGCCTCCTGACCTGGCTCCTGAGCCCATGGGAGCTGAGTCCCTGGGAGCCTGGAGCTTGATGGTTGGGAGGTGACCGTCATAGTCTCTTGACCTGGTGCTGGACTAGATACCCTGTGACCTTCAGCATGGGGTATCTGAGGACAATAGAGTCACTCAGGTTATGTTTGGGGTGGGGACCTACCACCCTCCCACCTAATGTGCCCTCTCCCTCCTGGTATACAGGACACCCTGACACCGTCTCGGGTGACTTCAGGACCTCTGCCTTGTTTAATGCATGCTTCCCAGGTGGTGAAAATCACAAGAGCAGAAAGCCTGAGTTCAAGGGTTGGCTCTGCCATTAACTTCCTGTGTGGCCTTGGGCAAGGCACTAACTCTGTCTGGGCCCTGCTCCCCAGTCTGTGAAATGGGCATATTGGATAGATACTTGCCCCAACATTTGGGGAGTCTCTCTGTCCACCTCCGTCTCGGAGTCCGCTCCCTCTCTGTGTCCACCTCTCTCAGTGTGTCTGTCTGTCTTCCGCTGTGTGTGTGTTTATCTGTCTTCCTCTGTCTGTATCACTTCTTCTCTTTCTTTGCTTTCTGTCTCTGTCTGGGTCGCTGTACGCTTCTGCTTCTCTGTCTCTCTCTATTTCTGTTTCTCCTTAGGACTTTGGGACATTCCTGGTGGGAATGATATAGTCTGGAGAAGGGGGTGCTTGATGCTCTGGAAGGAACCTGGGGGAGTGTGGAAGCTCAGGGACAAGAGCCACTTATACCACCCCCTATCCCCACCCTACCCTTGCACTCTGGGGATGCCCCGGGAGGGAGACAATTCTTTTCTTCAGCTTTCTCAGGGTTGAAACTGGGCCCAGACAGGCCCAGGCAGGTGGGCACCAGGCCACGGTCAGTCCAAAGCCCATCGTCACCACCCATGTGTCTGCCACAGGTTTGCTGAACAAGCCGTTTTCGTCCTTTTCTGCATGTTCGCCATCCTCCTCTTCTCCCGGGACCCCAAGTTCATCCCTGGCTGGGCCAGCTTCTTCACTCCTGGGTGAGATTCTGGGGCCCCACGGAATGGAGTCCTGCAGGGAGGGGGCCGGGGAAGTGGCTTTAATTGCTGTTGCCATTCTTGTATTTTTCCAAAGTGTAGTTACCTTTGTTAGTTCTTCAGATGAAAAATGGGTGTTATAAACATTTTAATAATACAGAGAAAGTGAAAATCACCTAGAACCTCAGACTCCAGTTCCCATATACATCTCTCTGACTTAAAAAACTGCCCGTCTGGGAACTGTTCTACGTCCTGATCACATTAGCGGCCACAGGACTGAACACATTTGTCAAAATGCATTGAGCTGCCCCCTTAAAATGGGTGCACCTTATTGCGTGTAAATTACACCCCAATAAAACTGACTTTAAAAACTCATGCAAACTAGCTAAAAACACACCTATCGAAACACAAGATTTTTTAACAAAAATGTGATCACATCATATGTATTATTTATGACCTGTTTTTCTTTTACTTTTTAATTACAAAAATTATGCACCGTAATCATACAAAATTCAAACAATACTGAATTGTAAAAATAAAAGTTAGTTGCTCTTCACCTGCCTTCTATCCCACTCCCCAGAGATTATCACTATTGACATTTTGTTGTGTAGTACTTCATAACCATTTATCTATCTGTCTGTCTGTCTAAACATACACACAACAGCAAATACACCACATACTCACACACATATATTAGTACATACATACATAAACATGTATATATATATATAATTTGGAAAATATAATAATATGATCATGGATAGCTTGCTATTTCCCAACTACTCCACTCTTTTTAAACATTGCATAGTATTCTATAGAATGGAAGCATCTTAATTTATGTAACCAATTCCTTTTTGGACTGTGTCCAGTACTGCAAATAAAAACTTGCTTTTTTTTTTTTTTAATTTACAAGGTATCTTTGTTGTATTTCTATGTCAATACATAAAGACTGACGTTATCTCTTATCTTTTTTAAAAAAACAGATGCAGAGAATTTCATTGTATGGCTGGGACACATTTTATTTACTTAAAATTTCTGGGTTTTTTTTTCCTATAAATAATGAACATCTCTGTACAAAAGATGTAAACAAGAGTCTGATTATTTCCTGAAGGTAAATTCCTAGAAGTAGAATAACTGGTTCAAGAAGTATTCACATTTAAAATTTTGAAACATGTTGCCAACTGCCTACCAGAAACTCAAACCATTTTACTCCCTCATGTCTAGGTCATCTAGTGCTGCTATAACAGACGTACCACAAGTGGATGGCTTTAACAAAGAGAAATTTATTCTCTCACAGCTTAGGAGGTTAGAAGTCTGAATTCAGGGTGCCAGGTCCAGGAGAGGCTTTCTCTCTCTGTTGGCTCTGGGGAAAGGTCCTTATCATCAATCTTCCCCTCGTCTAGGAGCTTCTCAGTACGGGGACCCCGGGTCCAAAGGATGAGTTCCCCTCCTGGTTCTTCATTCTTGGTGGTACGAGTTCCCTCTCCTGTCTGCTTGATTCTCTCTTTTATGTCTCAAAAGAGATTGACTCAAGATACAGCCTAATCCTGTAGATTGAGTCCTGCCTTATTAACATCATAGAGGTTAGGATTTACAACACATAGGATAATCACATCAGATCACAAAATGGTGGACAACCACACAGTACTGAGAATCATGGCCTAGCCAAGCTGACACACATTTCTGGGGGACACAATACAATCCATAACACCCCACTACCAGTATATTTGTCCTAACAGTCTCATTGGGCATTATCACCCTTTTCAAGTTTTGTCTGTCTGTTAGCATACGAATAATATTCCATTAGTGTTTCAATTTCTATTTCTTTCACTATAGTGATAATGACCATCTTTTCAAATTTCTTGGCTATCGGAATATTCTTCCTCCCCAATGTGTGGGTTGAAGGGCTTTTGTTAGCAATTCGCTCTGTGGTTCGTTGGAGCCAGAAAACTCTGGGTTTAAAGCCCATGTCCTCCATGGACCATTGCCTGGCCTTGAGCAAGTTGCTTCTGCTCTTGAGCTTCAGATTTCTCTCCTGAAATGGAAGCTGCCTGCCTTGGAGGGCTGTTTCTGAGGCTTCTGTGGGCTTAATGTCTACAAAGGACATGTTGTGGATGCTTGGAAGGTGGCAGTTAGGTTGTGAGTGGCGATGAGGTTGGGTCAGTCTGGGCTCTCCTAGTGGTGATGGGAAGCATCTCCATGTGGTAAACTGCCTGTCCCAGGAGGAATTCAAGCAGAAGCCGCACAAGTACAGATAAGACTCTCACAAGAGTCTGGGTTAGGGTGATTTGTGGAGGTTCTGTGGACTCCAGTACTCCATGGCTCTCAGATTCTTCCTTCATTGGTCAAGTCCTTGCATTGGGAGGACAAGCATTTTCTTGGCTCTACAGCAGCAAACCTTGTCCCAAGGAGCTGCCTGATAAAAGGGTTTTGCATCCATGGACGGTTACATTCATGCGGAATATGGTGCAAGACTGGATCCAAGGATGCCCTTCCCAGCGAGCCAAGTTCCCTTCCACAAATCCTCATGGGCAAACCTGCCAACCCAAGGGCTGCAGGGGTGCCCAGGGTCACATTCTTTGGGGCCTTGTCATTGTAGGTTTCTTTCCGATGCTGTCACTGGCGTGTCCATTGTCACCATCTTGTTCTTCTTCCCATCCCAAAAGCCATCTCTCAAGTGGTGGTTTGACTTCAAAGGTAAGGGAGTCCAGACTGGGGTCTTGGTGGGCTAGGTGAGGACTGTAGCAAGGAGCGTGTAATCAGGAAACTGGAGGTGGGGCCCATGCCTGGGAAGTGCTCCTCGATGGCCGCATCGTATAACCAAGTGGTCTCCAATGTTCCCCTTTTGCTGTCTAAGTGTTGACCTTGTCTGAGGATTCAGGACACCCAAGCTGATGGTCTCAGGCAGGGGTTGGCGACTACAGTCTGTGGGCCCAATGGCTGGCTGTTTCTGTAGAGCCTGTGAGCTAAGAATGGTGTTTACATTTTTAAATGGTTGGAAAAAATCAAAAGAAAAATAGTATTTCATGACACACGAACATTACATGAAAGTCAAATTTCAGTATCCATACATAAAACTTTGAATTTTCTCAGTACAACACTTATGGAAATATATTTTCCCTCATTATTAAGTACCTGCACAAAGGCCTTGATTTTACCTCTTGGCCCGCAAAGCCAAAAATATTTACTTTCTGGCTCTCTTCAGGAAAACTTTGATGACCCCTGGTCTAAGGCAGAAGTTAGTTCATGCCTGCCTAAGGGGCCAGGCATGAAAAATTCAAACTGCGTTTACAACTTACAGGAAGTGGTGGGGACTGAGGCAAACCTGACCAAAGGCACTTGACCCAGTGTAAAAAAAAAAAAACACAACAAACTAAGCATCTGTGGGCTGACCTCCAGATTGCCAATTAGGTTTCCAGCAGATGTCTGCCAGCAGAAGGCGCCACCACCACCATCTGTCCACAGAGGCTGAGACTGGCCAGTTGTCCCTGGGGCAAGGGAATGAGCTCTCCATCAGGAGTCAGGAATGAGGGGTTTTCTATTATTGAAAGCAATCAAGCATCAGGAAGCAGAGCTCCAGTCATGGAGGGTGGGGTTTTGTTGAGTGGAAGAGGGAGACTGAGTGTAAGGATTAGCAAGGACACAGGGATTTCTCAAGGATCCAGCAACAGTTATTGTAGCACTACTGGGCCTCAAGAGGGCTGGAACTGGATCCAGGGAGGCCCGAGGCAGTAGGCTTCTGGACTGTGCAATTATACGGATTCAGCTGTTTCCGTCATCTCTGCTTCTCCGCCTTACTTCCAACTGGCTTTCCTCATCGTCCATTCTGTATGTCATTTATTGACTTCTTCATACTTTCTACTACTTCTTAGTTTTTGCATCTTTATAGCTTCTGCTTCAGTATAGTTTCTGCTGAAAAAAAAAAAAAAAACTGGTTATAACAACAACACTTACAGTGTCTTCTTCATAACGCTACCCCCTCAGAGAGTCTGCTCCCCAGAGCTTCTGCTCCCCAGAGCTTCTGCTAGTTCTACTTCCTCATGGTTTCTGCTTCCTATGGTGTCTGTCCTGGGGGCATTGGTCCTTTAGTGGTAGGATTCTCGCCTTCCATGTGGAAAACCGGGTTCGATTCTGGCCAATGCACCCCAAGCACAGTCACCACCGTCTGTCATTGGAGGCTTGCGTGTTGCTGTGATGCTGAACCGGTTTCAGCAGAGGTTCCAGACTAAGACAGACTAGGAAGAAAGGCCTGAGGACCTACTTCTGAAAAATCACCAATGGAAACCCTATGGAGCACAATGGTCTGATCTTCTTATACGTGGGGTGGCCATGAGTCAGGGACCCACTCGACGACAGCTGACAACAGCAACATAGTGTCAGTCCTACTATAGTTTCTGTTCTGTCAAAGCATCTACTCCCTCACACTTTCAGCTTCTTAACAGCTTCCATTCTCTCACAGTGCTTACTTTCCTTCATAGTGTTTCTCTACTCCCTTGTAGCCTCTGCTTCCTCAGAGTATCTACCTCCTCACAGCTTCTACTTCTTCAAAGCCACAGCTTCCTCATAGCTTTTGCTTCCTCACAGAATTCATCCCTTTCATGCTCCTCCTACATCACACGGCACCTCTCTCTCTCTCTCTGTTTATTCTTTCACCTTTAGCTGTTGCTTCCCTTTGCCCAATTGTCTATTTCCTGTTCATACTTCTGAGGGTAAGAATCTGATTGGCCTGGCTTGTTCTTTGGGCAGGTCTTCTCCCACCAGGCAAACCCATAGGCTCCTAACAGCCTATGGATTGGCCACCCTTGGTCAGGTGCCCATCCACGGTCACTCCTCTGTGGGTGGGCTCATAAGGCCCAGAGCTGCCTCTCAGCTGGGGCTGTGGGAGAAGCACTGTGACAGAGTCCTGGTGTCCCAGCTGTGTTACTAATTGACTGGGGGACCTCCAGTAAGTCCCTCTGCTGTCTGGGCCATGCTGTCTCGTTTATAAAACGAGGGGGTCCCTTAGACGCCTCCCCCTTCTGACATTTAGTGGGTCTCTAGATCAGGGGTTGCAAACTCAAATGCCTCCAAGGAGGTAGCAGTTGTGTATGCAACAGGGACATTATGTATGTGCTGGGAAATGTTTGTCATGAAACACATGGCCCTCCCTGCCCATCTTTCTTTTCACTCTTTTGAGACTCTGCCTTTATGGTCATTCAGTAAGTATTGATTGAGTACCATTCTGTGTTGGGCACTGTGCTTATGGTTCAACATGATGAAGATGATGATGTTGATAATGATGATGATGATAACTTCCATTTCCTCTCTGCCCAGCAAGCTCTTCCTCCAGAGACAGAGAACAGTTTCTGTATTAAAAGGAAAACAGCAGCAGAAGGAGATGATAAGTGGAGGAGCCTCAGCGTCAGGGCACAGTGGGGTCTGTGGAAAACTGACGAGCCAATGCCCAAATAATGGGGGCAGCCATCACTCAGTTGCCACTGATTGTCACCATGCAGGAAAGCAGGACTAGTTTTGCCAGATTTGCAAAGAAGTAGAAAATCTGGATTTTTATATGAAGTCACCCTGATTTTAAAGGTTGGCAACTAATTAAAATTGAAAACGATTACTGTGTGGGCCAACAGGGTCAGGTTAAAACACATTGGTGTGGTGTCTCTGCCCCATGGAGTGCCAATGCCCCCGTGGCTGTGGGCTCTCTGAATTGGGGTTCCCAGCATTGCCTGATGGATGGACGGGGGGAGGTCCAGGAGCACCACCCATCATTGAGCCACCCACGGGCCCGTGTGAACTTGGCTGAAATGGAACTTTCTAGCGTTCAGCACTCAGGGCTTATGTGGGGCCTTAGAGAGTGGTCAAACTGTTAGTTTCCAGATGAGGAAATAGAAGCCCGTGGACAGAAAGTGACCTGATAAAGGTCACACAACCAGTTAAAAAGAGACAGGATTTAGAACCCAGGTGTCTGGGCCAACCTTGATTTTCTCATTCTATCCACCGGCCCCCATAGTTCTAAGGGTCTGAGTTGCTCTCACATTTCTCTGCCTTTATGGTCATTCAACAAGTACTGATTGAGTACCTACTCTGCTGGGCACTATGCTTATGTTTCAACATGATGAAAGATGATGATGATGATAGCTTCCATTTCCTCTCTGCCCAGTAAGCTCTTCCTCCAGATATCTGCAAGGCTTACCCCATTAGTTCATTTGGAGCCATGTCCAAATGTCACCTCCCCAGAGCAGCCGCCCCTGACCACGCCATATAAAAAAGCACCCCTCCTTTCTCACGCGCTCTCCTTTTACCTTATGTCATTTTTCCTCATAACACTCACAATTTCCTGGCATTATATTTTCTTGTTTATCATCTGCCTTCCCTACTGGAATGTAAGTTCTCCATGGAGAGAGGTTTTCTCTAATTTGGCTGCTTCTGGGTCCTCACTGCCTAGGCCAGTGCTTGGCACACAGTAGGTGCTCAATGTATTTTTGTTAAATGACCCAAGGCCTTGGTCCAGGCCTAGCCCTGTGCTGCACACTTTGCACACACAGGCCCCTGGCATCTTCCGCATAAGTCTCTGAGGGAGGTACAATTACTCTGCTTTGCAGATGAGAAAATTGAGGCTCAGAGAGGTAGAGTCACTGGCCCACGTCACACAGCCGGTAAACAGCAGATCTACAGTTCAAATCTAGTTCAACCTCAAAGCCTGTGCTTTTAGCCACTGCTCTAGACGGCCAGCAGGCATCAAGCTGAGCTGGAAATGGGAAATTCACATAGTCAGAAGTCTTGTAAGAAATCGTGGCAAGAGCATGGCTGGATGAAAAAATAATATCAATAAAAAACCAAAACAAAACAAAAATCCAATTGCTGTCGCATCCACTCTGACTCATGGAGACCTCGTGTGTGTCAGAATAGAACTGTGCTCCACTGGGTTTTCCGTGGCTGATTTTTGGGAAGTAGAACTCTAGGCCTGTCTTCCGAGGTGCCTCTGGGTGGACTTGAACCTCCAACATTTCGGTTAGCAGCCGAGGGCCTTAACCATTTGCACCACTTAGAACTCCAATTTAAAAAAAAACAAACAACACAACACCAAACCCGTTGCCGTGGAGTCGATTCCAACTCATAGCGACCCTACTAACGTTGATTGAGGGCTTCCCATATGGCAGGCAGTCTTATCAGGCACTTGTCATTCATTAGCTCATTTAATCTGCATTATATGAAACTCATGTTCAGCGCCTCTTCCCTTCCTCCTTCTTACCTTTACCTGTCACGTGGGGCAAGTCACTTGACTTTTCCAGACCTTAGCTGCCACGTTAATGAAATAATATATTACCACCTGAAGGCAGAGGGCAGGGCCACCTGACATCTCCAATTACCTCTTCCAGTTCTGGGCTTAACGGTATGCTGGCCTTGGCCCAAGAACTGCCTGGCAGCGCACAACTCCTGAGCTGTATATACACACCTACGGGCTGCATGTATTGTTAGTGGAGGGATTTTATTAAGTAGCTTCTTTTTGTCTTTATTTCCTCATTAGAAGATTTTGTTTCAGGCAATCACTGTAATATTCGGGAAAAGCCAACAAGGAGGAACAAAATGCCAATGATTGCATGACTAGGACCCCTCTGGGCATCTAACTACCAGGTGCCCTGGTGGCGCAACGGTTACGTGCTTGGCTGCTAACTCAGAAGTTGGTGGTTTGAACCCATACAGCGGTCCCACCAGAGAAAGACCTGGTGATCTGCTTCCATGAGGATCACAGTCAAGAAAACCCTATGGGGCAGTTCTACTCTGTCACATGGGGTCACTAATAACACAGGTGCCAGGGAACCACCACAAATGAGCCAGAACTGTTCTCCCTGCCTCTCTGGTCCGAGCCTGCAATGCAAAGTTCCATTTAAGGAGTGTTTACTCTGCACCAGGCATTGGGCTAAGTGTCTCATATACATTATTTGACAAGTATTTATGGAGTCGGAATCGACTCGATGGCAACGAGTTTGGTTTTTAACTGGTTATTTATGAAGTGGAGCCCTGGTGGTGCAGTGGTTAAGAGCTCCACTGCTAACCAAAAGGTTTGCAGTTCAAATCCACCAGCCGCTCCTTGGAAACCCTAAGGGGCAGTTCTATTCTGTCCTATAGGGTCACTGTGAGTCAGAATTGACTCAACGGCAACGGGTTTGGTTTGTTTTTTTTAATTTGTGAAGTAACTACCAGGTGCCCTGGTGATGCAACAGTTAAGTGCCTGGCTACTAATTGAAAGGTTAGTGGTTTGAACCCACCCAGCGGCTCCACAGGAGAAAGACCTGGCGATCTGCTCCTGTAAAGATGCAGCGGAGGAAACCCTGTGGGGCAGTTCTAATCTGTCATGTGGGGTTGCTATGAGTTGGAACTGACTCGACGGCACCCAACACCACCAGGTGCCAGGCACTGTTCTAGACATGGGGGATCCAGTTGTGAACTAGAAGAGAATGTCCCTCGCCACATATAGCTTCATCGTTGTCAGTGCTCCCAGAACCCTCCAGGTCCTGTAACTGTGCCTTGAGTCAGCTTGAGGAGATGCGGGCTCAGGAAGGGGAGGTCCCTTGTTCAAGTTCACGCACTGAGGACGTGCCAAGACCCAGGACTCCAAGACTGTATCCCACCCAGGGATGGCAAACTGCAGCTCACGGGCCAAATCCAGCCCACCACATCAAACAGTTTTATTTGTTTCTCTGTTGTCTGTAGCTGCTTTCATGCTACAATGACAAAGTAGTTGCAAAAAGGAGACCTTTGGCCTGCAAAGCCTAAACTATTCATTCCTTAACCATTTACAGAAAAAGTTTGCTGACCCTTGTCCTAACCATTGACCCAAATGGACACTTTCGGGAAAATAAAAACTATCCCAAAAACTCATGGGCCAGAGATGGCCTTAGTTTCTATTTGCCTGAATTTCCGTCCTTTATTTTTTCTTCCCTCTCTGCATACATTCAGTTAAAAAGAAAGCCTTTTCTCTTGTAAATGAGGCTAAAATAACAGTACCCTGTGGTATGTAAATGATGCCTGCCTGTGCAATGCCCTGTCCCAGGAAACGCCCCCCACCACCGCGGGAGCCTCGACAATATTCTCATTCTGAGTGGAGCAGCCATCCCATCACGATGCTTGTGGGGTTTCCTAAAGCTCCAGAATCAGACTCTGGAGACAGACTGTGGCTTCCTGGAGACCCCCGAGTGTCCCCACAGAGATGGGGCTGCAGGGCTCAGGGGGCCTCTTCTTCAGGCTCAGTGTTCTTTCCTGAGTGCGTGTTGGGTCCTTCTCTGCCCACCACGGTTCCGGAGCCCCGAATCAGGGACGGGTTACCCAATAAGCAAGGTGCACAGGGCTTACTTGTGCTTACTTAGTAATCTGTAGTACACAATTTCACCTGTTTGTCACGTCGCTGACGTGGTGAAACCCATGTGAAATTGTGTACTACAGATTAGTAAGTAAACTCAATTAAGCACGTGCGTACCTTGCTTAGTGGTTAATCTGCCCCTGGGCCCCTTCCTCAGGCTGAGTGTCCTCCCAGAGATTGCGTTGGGGTCCTCGTTTTGCCCAGTGCGGGTAGGGGCCCCTTCCTCAGGCTGAGTGTCCTCTCTGAGATTGTGTTGGGGGCCCCCTCTTGCCCAGGGAGGGTAGGGGGCCCCTTCCTCAGGCTGAGTGTCCTCCCTGAGATTGCGTTGGCTTTCTCTCTGCCCAGCTCCCAACAGGGAGACAGAGCCCTTGCTGACGTGGAAGAAGGCCCAGAAAACGGTGCCCTGGAACATCATCCTTCTCCTGGGCGGGGGCTTCGCAATGGCTAAAGGCTGTGAGGTAAGACCAGGGCAGGGGCCACGGATGTGCTGTGGGTCTGGGTGGGGGGCGTGTGGGCAAGGCCCAGCTGCAGCTGCAGGCTCCGGAACCAGAGCCGGTGGCCTGCAAAGCCCTGCAGGCTTCGCCAAATGGGATAATAATAGTACCTGCCCCCTGGGTGACACTCAGTGCCTGGTGCTGCGGAGAACAAGGATAAGACGTGATCTAGACCTGAGGTGGAAATTAGCGAGCAGAGGTTTATTAGGTGTGCCCTCGTGGTCATCACTTGTGTGAGGGAGGGAGGAGGCAGGATTGGGCTGGGGGAGAAGTGTTGCTGTGAGGCAAACCCATCACTGGGAGCGCTAGAGCTGGGATGACCCTTCTGAGAGGCCCCCATTGGGCTGAGATGGGGGTTGTTGTGTGCCGTGGAGTTGACCCTGAATCATGGAGACCCTATGACAGACTAGAGCTGCGCTATAGGGTTTCCTATGCTGTAGTCTTTATGGGAGCAGATTGCCAGGTCTTTTCTTCCTTGGAGCCACTGGATAGATTCGAACCGCCAACCTTTTGGTTAGCAGCCGAGGGCTTAACCACTGTGCCACTAGGGCTTCTTGGGTGGAAGCAGTGAGTTGATTATATCCCAGCATCCATTAATCAGTCTGTGGCTGTGAGCCCCCAGTAGGGGGCGTGGCCTTAGGCGAGGTGGCTCTCCCGGTCCAGAAAACCCCTCAGGTGCTGACAGCGAAGGCCACCGCCTGCTGACCTCTCTCCCGGCAGCTGGGGCAACAAGATCTTCCCCGAAGGGGTTCTGGTGGCACGTCAAGTTCTTGCACACAGATACTACTTTTTGTGAAATAAGTTTTATTTTACTCGCTTTTTCCAATAAGTAGCACGTGTACAATGGTGTTATTTTTCAGTGCCATTGAGTCAATTCCGACTCATAGCAGTTCCGTGTGACAGAGTAGAACTGCCCTATAGGTTTTTCTAGGCCTTAATCTTTACGCTAGCAGATCACCAGGTCTTTCTCCTGTGGAACTGCTGGGTGGGTTTGAACCACCAACCTTTTGGTTAGCAGCTGTGTGCCACCAGGGCTCCTTTGTACAATGGTACAGACTTCGAAAAGAGCAGAGGATAGATGAGTGTAAGTACTATTTTTGACCCTATTTTAGGAAGTCCGAGGCCCAGAGAAGTTAACTGACTACTTCTAGGTAGCACAGCTCATAGATAGCAGAGCTGGGATTTGAACTCATGTCTGTCTGACATTTCATGCTACTGCCTCCTACTGAGGGATGTATCAGGGAAGGCTTCCTGGGTGTAAAAATGGTGTGGTGGTGTCAGACCTTCTCTAACTTCAGGAGGGGGAGATAGAATCACCATCAACATCAGCCCGAGGCTGATTCCTATGAGGTGGAGGTCAAACATACCTCCACCCTCCAATCTTTTTATCAATTCTGACACCAACCACCCCTGTCACGGCACTCTCTATTCTCTGCTGGGTTCAGTAATTCGTTGTAACGGCCACACAGAACTCAGACTATACTCACGATTATGGGGTTTAACAGGTTAGTAACAGGTTACACAATTCAGGATCAGGAATGACTCAGTTCTTCAATTAGGACAGCTTCTCGGCCATGCCTGAAGGCAGCTCTCTCTCTCAGCTCTCGGCCCATGCCCTGCTTGGACAAGTGTTACAAAGCTCTTTAGCTCCACCAACAAGTGCGTGGAGGCACACCACTCCACCAGGAAGCCTCCTGCCTGAAGGCTCTCAGCTCTCTTGCTCCCTGGGCTGGGAAGGCCACTGCGCTGCCTCGCACCAGTCTTCCGGTTCTGCTGCTGCCACTCCTCTGCCACTGAACTCTGCCATGTTCGCCATCTCACACTGTCTCCAGTGTTACAGAGATGTCTGTCCCCTGGGTCTAGGAGATTCTCAGCACGGGACCCTAGATTCAAAGGATGTGCTCTGCTCCTGGCTCTTCCTCCCGATGGTAGTGAGGTCCCCTCTCAGCCTCTGGGATTGTCTCATTTTAAGCCTAGAGGGACGGAAAAATTGACCAATCCCCTTGTTGGTTCCATACTTCTTATTTGCATGGTCCCACCCCTGCAAGGATTCCATGCACCTTATTTGCGTTATTAGCAGGCTGTCTAACCCCCTTTGTGGGCCACAAACACCTTATTTGCATAGTCCCACTCAATCATTTTGTAGGAGTCACAAGACCGTGGCTAGAAGGGCCATATGAAGCAATTCACTGCACTGGGGGAAGTGACGTTCTATCCACATCCTGAAGAGGGGGTGCACTGCAACAGTAGGCAGCATGGGCCGTGGAGCCAGACTGTCTGGGTTGGCATCACAGATTCTCCACTTCTTAGCTGTGTGATCTTTAGCAAGTTACTAAACCTCTCTGTGCCTCAGTTTCCTCACCTGTAAAATAGGAATAATAATAGTACCCACTCATAGAGTTGCCACGATCATTAAATGAGTCAATACATGTGCAGCACTTAGAACAAAGCTTGGCCTACTTATTATTGATTTAGATGTTGGGGGAGAAAAGGCAGAATCAAGGATGGCTCAGAGGTCATTGGCCTAAGCAACTCAGTGGAAATGGTGCCATTTATGGAGAAGATCTGAAGCCAGCCTGGCCCAGAGGCAGGGGCTGGCTGAGATGACCCTGTACCCCAGAGGCTTCTTTGAGCTGCGGGAGTGGTGGGAGAAGTCCTGTCTCTCAGTGGGGGCTGGGCTGCAGCACTGCTCAGTCTAGGAGGACAGGCTGGGCAGCCAGCCGGGGTTTCTGTTCAACAGTGGCTTTGTGTGGCAGCCGCCACTCCTCCTAGCTCCTGCCGGTACCACCCCCTCCCTGGGCTGCCCCAGGCCACCACATGTCACTGCAGCCTGGCGCAGGAGCTTCCAGAATGTTTATGGCACACCCTGCCTCCTGGCCCAGCCCAGCACATTCCCCAGGTCTGGGTTGGGTCCAGTGTGAGCCTGGGTATGTAGGTCCCAAGTGGTGGTTCCGAGGGGCTGGAAGCAGGTCCCTGTGCTCACCTGGAGCTTGGGAAACTCGCTTAAACCACTTAGTGTCAAGGGAAAATGCAGAACAGAATTTCAAATTCTCATGGACTCTAGACTTTCTGGAGCCACGGAGGGTGGATGAACCCCAGAACTATTGTCCTGAGATAATCTTTAACCTTAAACCAAAAATATCACCTGAAGTCATCTTAAAACCTGAACAATAGTTTAGCTTAACTAGTAAAAGAGGCCTGTCTTTAGCATTATGCTTTTTAAAGAACTATCTATATGGGATCAAAGAAAGATGTGGTAGTCTGCTTCCAAAGAGATTTATAGCCTCAGAAACCATAAGGGGTCGCTATGAGTCAGAATCGACTGGATGGCAGTGAGTTTGGTTTTTGGTTTTTATATGGGATCAAATTGACAACAGCAACTCAAAAGATTAGATAGGAACCTTAGGGGGCAGTGAGTTTATGTGAATGAGGGAGGAACAACTCAGAAAAGGAGGGTGAGAATGGTTGCACAACTCGAAGAAGGTAATCAATGTCACTAAATTGTACACGTAGAAATGGTTGAATTGGTGTATGTTTTGCTGTATATATTCCCAAAAATAATAAAATAAATAAAATTTAGGGGAAAAAACCCACTTAGTGTCCTCACCACAGTTTCCTCGTGCTGAGAAACTGCTCAGGACTCCACAGAGACTGAGATTCAGGTGAAGGTTTCCCCCAGCCCACCCACAAGGCCCCTCAGTGCTGGCCCCTGCCTACCTGCCTGATGTCATCTCCTGCCTCTCTCCTTTGTTTACATCCCTTTAGTCCCACTGGCTCTTTACAGTTCCTCAGCTGCTCCAGACTCATTTGCACCCCAGGGCCTTTGCATGTGCTTTTCCTTCTGTTGAATGTTCTTCCCTGACATCTCTGAGTCCTCACCCTTCAGGTCTCAGCTCCAAGGTCACCTCCTCAGAGACCCTCCCTAGCCACTATGTCTAAAATAGCCTCTCATCCCCACTCACTCTCTCTCATTTATACTATATCTACCTCCTAAATTAAGGAGCCCTTGAGTGGTTAGCGCTTGGCTGCTAACTGAAAGGTTGGAGGTTCAAGACCACCTAGAGATACCTCAGAAGAAAGGCCTGGCAATCTAATTCTGAGAAATCAGCCATTGAAAACCCTATGGAGCACAGTTCTGCTCTGACACACATGGGGTCGCTGTGAGTGGGAATTGACCCTATGGCAACTTGTTTTACCTTCTAAATTATCTTATTGATGTGTTGGTTATTGTTTGTCTCTGCTATTAGACTGGAAGCTCCAAAAGGGCAGGGACCTTATCTGTCTTGCTCTCAACACTGTTTCAAGCATCTAGAAGAGTCCTGGTACACAGTGGTATCTACATAGTGGATATAACCTACAAGATGGGCTGTTTTGAGGATTGATGATATAATGTATGGGAAGTGCCTAGCAGGGGACTGGCACATACCAGGTGCTAAAACCAGGAGCCCCTATTGTCTTCACTACTATTATTGTTATTATTTTTTTACTAGCTCATGGATAAGAGATTGGTCTTATTCTGATACCTTCACACGTATCTCACTTAATCACCACAACAAAACACTGAGTTACAGAAGCTTAATAGTAAATCAGAGTGGAGCATGCAGGCAAGTAGAAACATGTATATTCTCCCCTAACCCTCATTTTCTGCCAGAGAGCTGAGTTATCTTTATTATTATGATTGTCATTTGATTGGAGAAGCAGCCTAGGAAAATGATTAAAAGCTGGACTCTGGGTGTAAATTCCAACCCTAGAGCAAGTCACTTCACTTACTTCAGCAAACCACTTAACCTCTTTGAGCCTCAGTTTCTTCAGCTATAAAGTGGGGATAATTGTAGTACCTACCTCATGGAGTTGTGATGAAGATTAAATAAGATAATATGACCAAAGTACTTAGAAAAGTGTCCAGCACTATATTAAGCGTTTGTTAAACAAAATAATAATAAATCACGTGCAGTACTTACCATGTACAATGACTGTGTTATGTGTACTTATTTACTTAGTCCTTACCATAACCCCTTGAAGAAACGAAGGCACAGAGATGCTCATTAATTTACCCAAGGCCACACAGCTTGTAAGTGGCAGGAGGGTTTGAAGGTCCACATGTGTACAGAAAGCCTTCTCTTTTTTCCTTCCTTTAATCAAATTCTCTCACCCTCTCCAGCTAAGAATTATTACCGAGAGTTGCATACACACAGTTGAGCCTACTGTGACTTTGAGCCTTTTAGGAGCTTTTCAAGGGTCTTCTTGACCATAGATTTCTACTTTAAGCCTTGAACTTAACACCCTCCTTATTCTAGGTATAGCTGGCATCTGTCTCTCTCCCAACCTCACAGCACCTTCCTACAGAATCAAATCCTCTTTTCAAATTTACAATCCCTGACAGGGGCAGATGACCCAGTAAGTAAGGTAAGCACGGGCTTACGTGTGCTTGCTTACTAATCTGTAACGACCAATTTCACGTGGGTTTCACCACATCTGTAGTGAAATTGGTGGCTACAGATTAGTAAGTAAGCACAAATAAACCCATGTTTACTTGCTTACTGGGTCATCTGACCTTGCTGCCAGGTACTAGGCGCGTGCCATGAGCCCAGGCACTTTTCTAAGCGCTTCGTAGACTAGCTCCTTTTCTGCCGGCAACATGTCTCGGAGACAGGCCCTGTTATTATCCCTGGCTGACGGTAAGGAAACTGAGGCATGGAGAAGTTAAGTTCCTTGCCCGAGATGACACAACTAGAACGCGATGAAGCTGAAGCCAGAGCCTTTTCTCCTCACCATCTGGCCACACTACCTCCGACCTTGTCTGCTGCTGGTCCCCAGAGTCACTGGGAACTCTTTGGGGCAGTGTGTTTCCAAGGAAATGGAGCTTTTGATTCCTAAAGGAATGGGAAAGGGTTGGTGAAGCCCCTTTGGAGTTCCCAAGAGGCAACTGGAGTTCTCCTCTCTCATGAAGCTGTCAGACCTCCCTCCAGTTCCAGAAGCTGAGCCAAGGACCTGAGGGGCAGCTGGGACATTGGCTGGAAGCCTGTGACTCCGAGGCCTAGCTATGGGGAAGCTCTTGGTTTCTCACTTGCCCAGGTCATTAATATTCCCCCTCACCAGCCTCTCTCCCTCTAACTGCACACACTGCTGTTGGTCTCTGCCAAAGCAGTGGTCTATGGGGAGAACCAGTGGGCCCATTTTTTCCTCGTAGGGCTCCCTAGGCCAGGGGAGGGGCTGGGGCTTCGGCTCTGGCAGGTACCCTATTTGCCAGCCTATCAAACAACAAGTGCAGGTATAAAAGAAGCACCTTTATTCTACAAGGGCGATTTCTTTTGGGGAAAGTATGTTTAAGCATGTATTACTTTTGTATTGAAGGTGACTTTTAATTCAAATTGTAGGGGAAAATCTATTATTTTGTTTATATAAAACAGTATACTGGGTTCTAGAATCCATTAGGAAATTTTGGAAGTTCTAAATAAGCAGTAATTTTTCTATTGTAACTAAAAAAAAAGTTTGAAGTTCCTTTGGTAAAACAGAATGTATTGGAACCAAAAGATACTGCTTTAAAAAATGACTATGGTAGAAATATATTTGATTCTAAATGTTAGGTTTTGGGAAACTAGCCCAGCTCTACCCTTGATCAGCTTCTAAGCCTGTGGCTTGTTATCTGTGTTTAGAAAACAACCTATAGGACGTGCCAGTTGATTTATTGCGCTATTACTGCATAGCACCACTAGGGGGTAGCATAGAACACTATTTTACATCTTAAGGTTGCTGCTTGAGGTCACAAGGAAGGTGTGTTGGATTCAGTGTTTAAGGATACATTGATGACGGGCGGGCATAGATGGGGTAATATATATTACATGCTCGCAAATAGAGTAACTCCTGGAGAAGTCAGTGGAGAGAGTAGTATTGATGGAAGAGTGAAGTCTGGAGCCAGGTATGGTCAATCTGGCTGGCACCTTCTCTGACCTGGAGGACTGTGGTCAGTTCTGGACACTGCGCTTGAGTTAAGGGTGTGTGCAGAGGAGGGTGCCTGGGTGGTAGGGAGATTTGGAGGAGCATATTATCTTATGCAGGTAGATGGCTCTGAGTGTGAAACGTGGCTCAATCACTACTTTGGGGGACCTTGGACAAGTCACAAAACCTTCCTAGCCCAAATTCCTCCTCTGTAAAATAAAACCAGTTGCCATCGAGTCAACTCCAACTCATGGCGACCCCATGTGTGTCAGAGTAGATCTGTGCTCCATAGGGTTTTCAATGGCTGATTTCTTAGAAGTAGATTGCCAGGCCTTTCTTCTGAAGTGCTGCTGGGTAGATTTGAACCTCTAACCTTTCAGTTAGCAGCTGAGCATGCTAACCATTTGCACCACCCAGGGACTCCCCTTGATGAAACAGGGAGGATAATATCTACCTTGTGGGATCGATGGAAGGAGTCAGTAGTAAGACAATGCATATCGGGGCTTTATAGGGCACCTGGCATCCTAAAAAGCCTCAATGATGATGGATAATAATACAATGTTCATGATGTTAATACTTGTATCATTATTCATTGTAATCATTATCCTTACTATTAATCATAAATATCTTTATTGTTGATAATCATATTGTGTTATATTTGATATATAGCTGATACATATATTTTATATTATATATGTATTTTACATTATATGATACTTATATAGTATATCTTATATGTATTATATATCTGATACATATTAATATATCATTTATATTAAATTATAGCATTAATAGTGAATATTATACATAAATACCAAGCCATGGTATTTTCAATCACCACATATGCATGGGAAAGCTGGACAATTAATAAGGAAGACTGAAGAAAACTGATACCTTTGAATTATGGTTGACAAAGAATATTGACTATACCATGGACTGCCAGAAGAATGAACAAATCTGTCTTGGAAGAACACAGCCAGAATGCTCCTTAGAAGTGAGGATGGCGAGACTTTGTCTCACATAATTTGGACATGTTATCAGGAGGGATCAGTTCCTGGAGGAGGACATCATGCTTGGTAAAGTGGAGGGTCAGTGAATGAGAGGACCCTCAACAAGATGGATTAACACAGTGGCTGCAGCAGTGGGCTCAAACATAGCAATGATTGTGAGGATGGCGCGGGACCAGGCAGTGTTTGGTTCTGTTGTACGTAGGGTCACTATGAGTTGGAACTGACTTGACGGTACATAACAACATCTATAAATAATGGTGTTATTATTTTTATAATCAATAACCATAGTTAGAGGGATGAGAAGATTTACCTGGAGGATCTGATTCCCCTTTCCCACTCAGTTTAGAATTTATGGGTCATAGAGCCACACTGGGATTATTTGGGGGTCCAGGGGCATATGAGTATCTCTGTGCCTTGATTTCTTCTAGGGGTTATAGTTAGGATTAAACCCTGTAGAGTATGGAGTAGGGGGCAATCTAAGAAGCAGGGAAGCTGACTTCAAGCCTGGCTTTTCTGCTGTCTGACCTTGGGCAGGTCACTCACCCTCTCGGAACCACCATCTCCATCTATGAAGCGGTACAGTTGTCATCCTCATGTTGGCTCCTAGCCCTCTCTCCTGGGCCCACCCAGGGCTCTCAGTGTGGGGCTGGTGGGATGAGTGAGGAGATGCCTCTTGCCCCACCCCTCCCCCAGGAATCAGGGCTGTCTTCGTGGATCGGAGGGCAGCTGCACCTCCTGGAGAATGTGTCACCCATGCTGGCCGTGCTGCTCATCACTATGGTCATTGCCTTCTTCACCGAGTTTGCCAGCAACACGGCTGCTACCATCATCTTCCTGCCCGTCCTGGCGGAGCTGGTGAGGATTTCGGGGAGGTGGCAGGGAGGGGGCTGGCAGGCGGGCAAGAGGAGGAACATTCCTGCCCCAACACACATTCAGAAAGCCCTCCCCTGCCACCAGCAACTCCATCAGGGGCCACAATTGTCATTGCTCCCTTCCAAAATGCATGGAAGGGTCAGAACCACCGTGTAAACTTTTAAGAAATACTGTTTTGTTCTTCAAGAAATGCTTAAATAGAGTAAATATTTTCTAAGTACAAAAAATCAATTTGCAATGAAAAGAAACCCATAGTGACAAAGAGAGTTTTCTAGGAAAATATACATGACTAATTTGGATTAAGAGGAAGTAGAAAATCTAAACAGACAAACAATCACAGAGAAAATTCTAGCAGTAGGCAAAGTTTTGAAACCAAAAACCAAACCTATTGCCTTTGAGTCAATTCCAACTCACAGACTCATAGTGACCCTGTAGGACAGAGCAGAACTGCCCCCTAGGGTTTCCAGGGAGCAGCTGGTGGATTTGAACTGCTGACCTTTTGGTTAGCAGCCGGGCTCTTCACCACTGCGCCACCAGGGCTCCATGCATTTCTCCAGACATTACCCATTATCTCTGAGAGGGGCAAAACCGCCCCGGGCTGAGAACCACTGCTCTAAGACACTAGCGCTAGATGGTTTTATGTAAAATCTAGCAAACCATCAAGGAACAGACAGTTCCCAATTTGCCCAAACTTTTCCGGAGCACAGAAAGATAGAGAAAGCCATTCAATCCACGTGATAAAGTCTGCAAAACCCCCAAGACCAGATAAGGAGAGTAAAGGAAAAGAAAGTTACCATCTAATCTCACGTGTAAACAAAGATGCAAACAGCCAAGTAAATCCAAGATTGTGTAAAAAGAACAATATATCATGAGCAAGAAGATTCTATGTTAGCAGTAAAAACATGACTCAGCATCAGGAAACTACCAATATAGTTTGTTGTAGGGGAAAAACATCACAAAGTCTAGTAAAGCAAAAAGAAAGTTTTACTCGGCATTCTATACTTTAACAGATTAAAGAAGACCAAACCATGTCATTATCTTAACAGAATCTAAAATGGATAAAATCAAATCAATGGTGTAAGTATATGCTTTTTATGCAAATAGCACACCAAGCATACTCATATGCATTTTGTTTTTGTTTGCTTATTTATGCATTAATTTATAATGGGGATGGCACCATATTAGCACATAGAGATACGCTTTATTCCTTTTCAGTGACAGAATAGTCCATTATGGAATGGATAGCTGTCCAATTTATCTAAGCCTTCTCCGCTGATGGACATATAGGTTGTTTCCAGCCTTTGCTATTATCCAGCAATGCTGCCTGATCTTTCCTTGTCTGTGCATTTTTTAATGACATCTAGATAAATTCCTAGAACTGAGATCGCTGAATTAAAGAACATGTACACTTAAATTTTTGTTAGATATGGCCAATTTGCCCTCCAAAGTGGAAGTGGCATTTTACACTGCCACCAGCAATATGGGGGAGGGGGACTGATTCCCCACACCCTTGTTAAATGTGATTGGATTTAATCAAAGCATTTCCCAGGATCTGAGGGACCTGGCAATTGGAGGCAAAAAATTCTCTAACGGGGCCAAAAATGTTCTAAATAAAATGCTGGAGAAGTCATCAACATGAATTGCAGGTGCATATAGGGTCGCTATGAGTTGGAATCGACTTGACGGCAACAGGTTTGGTTTTTGGGTTTTCGGTTCTCATCCAAAAGGAGCCCTGCTGGCAGCAGTGGTTAAGCGCTCAGCTGCTAACTGAAAGGTCAGCGGTTTGAACCCCCCAGCCACGCCACGGAAGAAAGATGTGGCTGTCTGCTTCCATAAAGATTAAGCCTTGGAAACCCTATTGGGCAGTTCTATTCTCTCCTATAGCGTCACTGTAAGTCAGAATTGACTCAACAGCATCGGGTTTGGTTTTTTTTTGGCTGGTTCTCATTGTGGTCCCTGGACCAGCAGCATCACCTGGGACTTGCTGGTATGCAAACGCTCTGGTCCCAGCCCAAACCTTTAGGGATCTGAGACGCTGGGAGTGGGCCCTTGCAATTAGCACATTAACAAGCCTCCTAGGTGATTCTAATGCAAAACAGCTTGAAAACTCACCCTGGACTCTGGGTGGCTGGGACTCAGCAATGAGCAGTTTAACAAGCCCTCCAGGTAATTCTGATTCTGCTCAAGTTTGAGAAGAGTATCCTAGACAAATATCACCCCAGTCCATCCTCCCTGATAACCCGGCAGTGTGGCCCCGGAATGTCACTAACCTTGGGAATGTTCTCTCTGTCTTTCCCTTGGTCTGGTGCTCTTCTGGTCTGTCTCTATTTCTCATTGCATTTCTCTGTCTAAATCGGTCTTTCTCATTTGTCTCTATTGCTGTCACTCTGCAATCTATATATGTCGTCTCTCTTTCCTGTCTCTACCCACTTCTTTCTATCTCCTTGACTCTGTGTCACTCTCTTTCGAACTCTCTCTTGTGGTTGTGCCATATTGTATGTGTATACTTCGGTCTCTCCCGCCCCCTGCTGGCCCAGGCCATCCGCCTGCGAGTGAACCCTCTGTATATGATGATTCCCGGCACGGTCGGCTGCTCCTATGCCTTCATGCTCCCAGTCTCGACGGCCCCTAACTCAATCGCCTTCGCCTCTGGACACTTAATGGTCAAAGACATGGTGAGTCTGGGGGTTTTCTGACTGAGGCCTGGAGAGGTGGGCGGCTCCGGGTGGTGGGCGGGCTCCTGGTGGTGACAGTGGAGACTTGCTAGGAGATGCTGAGGAGCAGAAAGACGCAGAAGGGACAGAGAGACAGAAGTTTCAGAGCCACCTGCATAGCTGGTCCTGAGCAGGGCATGGCCACCTGCATATTTTACTCATTGTGGGTAACAAGTTAGGTGCTAATTAAAGTGACTGATGGAACCCTGGTGGTACAACAATTAATCGCTTGGCTATCAACCAAGAGATTGGTGGTTGGAGCCCACTCAGCAGCTCCACGGAAGAAAAGGTTACAACCTAGAAAATCTATGGGGCAGTTCTACTCTGTCATATAGGGTCACTATGAGTTGGAGCTGACTCGATGGCCCCTAACAACAACACAATGTGGGCCAAGCAGGCATTGCGTGCCAGGCTCCAGGACCTTGGAAAAGCCTCCTCCCAGCTCCCTATTCCCAACTCTGGCTGGTCCCCATCTAATCCCTTAAAGTTGCTGAGGGCTTTAAGATCCCCTAGGATGGAGGTTGTAGAAGCCCTGGTGTCACAGTGGTTAAGTGCTTGGCTGTTAACCAAAAGATCGGTGGTTTGAACCCACCAGCTGCTCTGCGGAGAAAGATGTGGCATTTGCTGCTGTAAAGATTACAGCCTTGGAAACCCCATGGGGCGGTTCTACTCTGTCCTGTGGGATCACTCTGGGTCAGAATTGACTCCAGGGCAATGGGTAGAACAGGAGTTAAATGACATAACCTATGACAAGTGCCGCACAGTGCCTGACACCTTGAAACCACTCTCTGAATGGGGAGCAGCTGCAGCTCGAGGACAGCTTTGTTGTTGTTGGCTGCCATTAAGTTGGCTCCGACTCACGGCGACCTTATGTATAACAGAACGAAATGGTGCCCTGTCCGCGCCATCTTCATGATCTTTGGTACGTCTGGGTCCACTGTTGTGGCTATCGTGTCAACCCTTCTCACTGAATTTCCCTCATTTCTGCTGACCCTCTGCTTTACCAAACATGATATCCTTT